TCCACATATCAGAGATGTTGTCTGTAGCAAGCCTACCAGGAAACTAACTAATCCTGTATCCTGTTGTGCGGCTTCTAAAATCAGTGACTTTTTCAGTCTGTTAAGAGCATGTGAAACCAAAGGGTTTATTCATTTTAGGGGTTTTGTGTGTGTGTGTGTGTGTGTGTGTGTGTGTGTGTGTGCTGGGGAGGGTTTCTCCAGAGGTTTGGGTTTTTTGTTTGTTTGTTTTGTTTTTGAGACAGAGTTTTGCTTTGTGACTCAGGCTGACTTTAAACTCACCATGTAGCCCAGGCTGGCCTCAAATTTGTGGCAATCTTTCTACTTCAGCCTCCCTAGTGCCAGGATTGTAGGCGTGTGGCACCACACCGGGTTCGTACTGGGGACTGAACCCAGAACCTTCCTGTTATGTCGTCAGTCACGTAACACTTTTTAAAGATTTTTTTTTCATTTTTTTTTTTTATCAGTACCGGGGATCAAACTCATGACCACCTGCTTACAAGGCAGGCGCTTATGCCGTTGAGCTAAATCCCCAGCCCACTTTTTAAAGATTTTGATGCAGGGTCTTGCCAGATTGCTCTGTCTGGTATCCAGTATGCAGTCTTCCTGTCCCACCCTCCCAGGGTACTGGCATTACCGGCGAATACCACTGCATTCTGGAAACAATTGTGCATTTTGTGTAAACATTTGTTTCCTGGGGTTTTATGAGTCTCATGAGGAGTCTGTTGAAGAGAGCCTAAGTGTAGAGAAAAAATACGCCACAGTAAAAAGGGGTAAACTGTTACGGCTCTTAGGGTTTATTTTGTTGTTTCAGCCTTTTTCCCCACCATAGTGGTCCTTGATTGTCTCATAAAGACTGTCTGATACCCAATTCATGTAATCCAAATTTGGAGACGTCCAATGACTCAAATAAAAAATCATTTTCAGATTTTCCATGTGATTGCAAATAAGTTTATGATGAATGTCTATATTTCTAGATTTATATATCTTTTCAAAATTATTTTGTTTATTCCATAGAATCTCTAAAATCTGTGAAGTTATTGATAAGTATTTCCAATTGCCCTCCAGAAAGTGTTCAATGTACAGTAAGTGAACTTTCTATTCTCTACATCTTTCTGAGCAGTTCTTTGACTCCCATAGTCAAGGATATCAGAAAAGGAAATATGCTTTTGCACTGTTTTTAAGTTTCAGGAAAAACAGTATCACTTTTATGTTTACCATTACAGGATGACATATGTATATGTAACCTTAACTATCATTGAGTATAACCTAATACCATGCAGATAAAAGTATAAACTTGTTTGCTAGGATGCTAAGTTCCTCGAGCACAGTGACTTTGCCTGCTGTAGTCCCTGATGGTGTGCATCACAGGCTCCTGCGGGAAAACTGAACTGAGACTGTGCAATTAGCTTCAAATTTACTACCTGAATCCATCTTCACAGAATCTGAATGAGGAAAAGGGGGCAGAAAAAGCCTCAAAATTGCATGAAATGAGCTCCCTTTGCAGAAGAGGACTCTGAAGTACAGAAAAAATGTTCCAAACTTACACCACGAGCTGTTCATATGCTGTTGGTGATTTCATACTTGTTGCTTTTCATTTTAGTATCTTGACAATACAGACATTTTTTTTCTATTTTTTTTTATTGGTACCGTGGATCGAACTCACAACCACGTGCTTGCAAGGCAGGTGCTTATGCTGCTGGGCTAAATCCCCAGCCCCAACAATACAGACATTTTAAAAAATGATTGTGGCCTAAAATGCAGGTTTTCAAACCGTGTTCTGCAGTGCAGCATCATTTTCCTCACCTGAGAATTTGTTCACATCTTTGAAGCCCATCTCAGACCTGCTGAGTTATCAACTTAGAAGGTGGGTTCAGGAAGCTGTCCTTAGTCTCATGCATGCTTAATTTTGGAAACTACTGGTTTAATCTAATAGATTTTTCCCCAGTAGTTTCTGGCTTGGGAATTATGATTAGAAAGTTCTTCTCACAGAAGCTAATGAATCACATCATTTACATTATCTTCTCTTCTTTCACATTTGAATATTTAAGCCATATGGAATCTCCTACCCTAATTATATAATTTTCATGAGGACAGAAGTAGTCATGTGTCTTATTTATTTTATCCTAAAACTGGAACTGGCACACGATGAATTCTTAGTCTATATTCACTAGTTTATTGAATTTACTACTTAATTTTGGTGTAAGGTAAGGCATATCCTTTATAAAGCCTTCATTGAAGGGATAAATATCAAGAAAGTACAATAAGCCAAGCCATTCACTTAGGTGGTTTACAGTGACAATGGGTAACCTGAAGAAGAATAAACTACAGCATTCCCATTCGTGTTATGCTTGATTGTACTGCTTAGCAGCATTACATTTTTGGCATGAGTCCCTCAATGTAAATTTTAAACCTGAAAAGGCTCAGTTTGTTAAGAAAATTTATCCAAGCTATGCATAGTGGTACATGCTTGTAATCCCAGCACTTTCGAGGCCAAGGCAAGAAAATTATGGGTTTGAGGCCAGTTTGGACCACCTAGTGAAACCCTGCTCCTGTAACTTACTTGAAACTTTAAGGAAAAATTTGCCCTTTCAGTGTCCTGATGGACCTTATACTGCAAGCAAGTACCCACTGGGATTATCAAATTTTCTAGGATTGGTAAAGTGTTGAGGAGGAAAATATCTTCCATCTTCCCCTTAGGTTCACTCGTAATGTTTGAGTTAAACTAACCAAAGACTCCAGAAGATAAGGTACACGATTTGATTAATACATTTACTTTGATAGGAATTCAGAGAAAATAAGTGAAACTGCTCAGGACCAGTTAGACTTCGGGGCTTGTACTACTTATTTATTTACAGTCAGACTTTGAGGCACTTACACCATGTATTTACTTACTATGATACTGAAGCCTGACACATGCTAGGCAAGCACTCTACCACTGAGCTAAATCCTCAGCTCTTCTAAAAATTTTAAAGTGTTTTTATTGTGAGACAGAGTCTCACTAAATTGCCCCAACTGGACTGGAATTTAGGTCTGCCTGCCTCAGCCTCCTGAATAGCGGAGATTATAACTATGTACCATCATGCCCAGTCTAGCCTTTTACCTAAGGAAAGCAAGTTTGGCTTGAGCCGATCTGTTTCATGCACTGTAACTAAGGGGATCTTCTAGAAAGAAAGTCTGATAATATGAGAGATTTCCTGATAGTTCAATATAAAAAGAATTTCTTAGCACCTCAGCCCTCTTTCTTTTTTCTGAGAGAGGAGGGTCTTGCTTAGTTGCGTAGGCTGGGCTCATTATATTTAGGACTTTCTTTCCCTACTCTTCTGAGTGCTGGGATTAGAAACATGCACCATCACACACAGTTAAGTGAGATCTTTGAAGATTTTGTTGTTTGTTTTGTTTTTTTGAAACAGGATCTCACCATGTAGTTCAGACTGGTTTTTCAACTCACTATGCAGCCCAGGCTGGCTTTGAAATCATGGCAACCCTCCTGCCTCAGGGTCTCAGCTGGGATTACACAAATGTGTCACCATGCCTGACGAGTGAGAATCTTTGAGTGATTTTAGTCAGAAGCTTGATTAAAATCGTCTGTCAGGTTTCTCCAAGTTATTTTTTCTTTTTCCATATTCTTTTCTTTGGAAGTGAGTCACTAAGCCCTGCACACACACATACACAAACACTCACAGAATTAAACCTCACATCCCAGGAGTGAGATATATGTATATATATATATATATATATATATATATATATATATAATTTGAAATTATTTTATAGGGATGATTTGTCCCTTTGCCCCTTCTTTATTTATTCAAAAATTTTTATCAGTATGGCTGTATAATTGCATACTCAACATCTCAATATTTTTGGTTACAATTGAAAACTGTGTCAGCTGTTCAAATGTTTCCAGCTTTGAAGTTGGAGTATATACCGTTGGTGATAGACTGCTTACCTAGCAAACATAAGACCCTGGGCTCATTACCCGTGTGTGAATGTAGGGTAAAGGTACAGTAAATGGCGGAAGCTTCAGTAGCTTTCACCTGTGTGGGTGTTAGGTTCAGATAAAACAATTTCCGGAAGAGGTATTCTCATTCAATCATTTAGTGATGCTGATTGGATACCATTGTGATAGGGTGGAAAAACCAAAAAAGTGGGGGTGGGTGAATGGAGCTGTAAGTTAGGCGGTTAAGACTAAGACAGTGAATAAGAGCAAGCAAGTCAGCGTTTGTGTAAGAAGCTTCTATACCATGCGTTTAACCTAGGGCAGCGTTGCACCTCCAAGACTTAAAAGAACGGTGGTGATGACTGTGGCCAAGGGGATGGGCCAACACATAAAGCAACCAAGGTGAGGAAAAGCTAGGAGAACAGGCTCAGTAATCACTACAGCAAACACTTAGACGAACCTGGAGCCATCATCAATACTTAACTCACTGTGACCTTAATGAGCCTGTGAAGTAGGTGCGTCACGGTGAGGGAACTGAGACAACTGATAAAACGCCTCGAAGCTCGTCCACCGGAACAGAGCTGATGTAAAATCCAAGCAGGCTGGCTCCACTGCTCCCACACACACTGCGCAGACGGGGCGCCTCCGGGCAGGACTCTCACTGTACTTCCCTTGCACTTCTTCTGTCTTGCTGGATACCTGGTGTCTTCGAGGAACAAATCATTCTCCCACATTTTTTCGATTAATTTTTCTTTATTCGCATGCACCAGGGCCGCTCAACTAGCGAGACGCATTTGTTTTTTTAAAGCAGTCATTTATTTCCTATAAAAATAAAAAGATGCGCCTGGAGATGCAGCTCAGGGTAGGGCACTTGCCTGGCGAACGCGAGGCTCCCAGCCCAAACCCCAGGGCTGCAAAAAGAGGGTGTGCTCGGTAGGACCGGCAGATCGGATAAACGAGGGTAGGAGCCTCAAACCGAACTAACGCTACCCATGCAGCACAGCCTCCAGCTCTGAGGTGCCAACTAGTCTGAATCCCGTGGAACCGCTTCCGGCGGGACCGGAAGTCCTAAGGGGGACCGTTTGTGGGACGGACCGGCTGACGGACAGTTCCGGATCTAGAAGTTGCTCAGTGCGGCGGCGTGCACAAATCGGGTTCTCCGGGCCTCGCGTGGGAATCAAGTGAGTGGTTGCTGTGCCAGGGTGGTCTGGTGGCGTGTACTATTTTGTTTGAAGTGTCCCAGCACAAATCACGCGAATTCATTTCCACGCACCCGGAAGCCTTTCCAAGAACGCTTTCCCCTCAGCCTGAACCCCGGGGTTCCTCGGACCGGCCGGCTCGCTGCTGCCCAACCTCCCGGCCCGAGCCTGTCTGCACTCGGCTTTGTGCGACCCTGGCACCCTGCCTTTTTCCTTAGCCGCCCAAGGCGTCCACCTCTACATTTCCACTAAAGCAACCACGTATTTGCAGTATCCTTTTTTTTTCTTTCTTTCTTCCAGATTCCATGACAAGAAATAACATTGCGGCGAAACAACACCCAAGTGGGAGTTACAAAGTCTGCTGTTAACTAGTTGCATGTCATTTGTGAGTTCTTTTGGGTTGTTTGCTTTTTTGTAAAATTAGGGCCTTGGAGCATATAACAACAAAGGTTCATTCCGGTATTGACTGGACGCTGTGTGCCTTTCTTAATTCCCACTGTCTTAATTCCTGTCTCATTTATGTATTTGTGCTTTGATTAATCTGTAAATCCTTCCCACCCCGCCCCACCCCATTAATCTATGCCTTTGACAAATCTGGTTTTAGACTCATTTAAAACTTTCCTAAGGAGTCCTATGCTCCCTGAGCATATTTTTACCTTCTAGATAAGGGACACATATCTAAATAAGGTTTGTGCAGTTTTTGACATGTGCAGTTCTTGACATGCTTAAAATATGGGTTATTTTGTTTGGTACCGGGGATCGAACCCAGGACCTCGCGCTTGCCAGGCAGGCACATGCCACTGAACTAAACCTTTGGCTGTTATTTTGTTTGTTTTTTGCAGTAAGTCACATTCTTTGGTCTTTACTTGAATAAGCCTTTTAAGGTAAAATGCTATGTAATACACACATACAAAACCTCAGAATTGTGATTTGTGAATATTTATAATTTATAAGCAATGAATCTTCAAAGCATATAAACCATGAAAAAACGCATGATGTCCATATCCAGAATTAGTGTTAAAAAAAAGCAAAAACAACCAAAAAACCTCACATGATATAATTTAAAACATTAATAAGTACGTACGTCATTTTATTGTCTTTGTATAAGCATACAGTAAGAAGGATAGGCATTAAACACTTTTAATTTCTTTTTACAGCGATCAGGAAGATGAGGCCCATACAAAAAAAGTAACTTGCTCAACCAATCAAGATACCAACACTTGATGGTGTATCCCACAGCAGGTATTCACCTAGGGTTCTTTTGTTGCCAGGTCGGGTACTTTCTTTATGATACTTTCCAGTTATTTCTTTTTTGAAGAAGCCATTCAATATCTTCAGTGTCAGGGCTATAAAATACACTTTAAGAAGATTGATTGAAAAAGAACATTTAATTTTTAATTTAATGTCCAGTTATGTAGCAAATCTTACTTGAACAGAACCTCAGTTTCTTCAGTCATATCTTATAATTATGGTTATTTGTGAATAATTTTAAAGAACATGTGGCAGAAATGTAAATATATAAATATTTGTGATATATGTGTAAATACACATTACATACATTAAAATATAAGCAGACTAGAAATGTCATGAAAAAAATGCTGTGAAAGATAGTTACATTTTAAGACAATGTAAAAGTTTAGAATTGTAAGATAGCTTTATATAGTCAAGGTACACTGAACTATTTCATTTTTATTTCTTTTTTGTAATGTTGAAGAATAGTATTGCTATAAAACAATAACCATGGTATATTCTTTAATGTAAAAAGTTATAAAACATAATATGATTTGGTTTTTGTGAGAATGATTATTAGCACAGAGAAAAGGTTTGAAAAGATAACTCATTAAGTAGCCGGTATCCACTACTTTAAAACTTAATCTTTATAAACAAAATATTGAAGTGACTAAAATTTACAGAAATAGTTAGGTATACTACTGCAATGAAAATGCTGCCCTACATTGTAATCAGTCAGTCTGATGTGACAGAGAATCTTTATACTGAAAAACTTTAAAGACAGTGAACTTTTTGTGGAAGGGACTTTGGTTTATTAAATTCTGCATCCCCAATGTGAAGCATAAGGACTTCTATTACTTAGGAGATACTTCTGAGAAGAAAACATGAAAAGCAAAAGTGTAGAAATGAAGTCTGGAGAGTAAATAAGGGACTCTGGGAGAAAAAGAACTATGTTACTAATGAATTCTGTTGTATTTTCAATAAACTCCTCTTTCATCCCAAGAATAATATTTAAAAGACATTAACTAGTAAGTATCCCATTCCTCAGTAACTGCTTCCACTCACTGTAAGGCCCTTTTTTGAGAGGGACTGAGGTGGATAGAGGGAAAAGTGTTTGGAGGTGAAAGGCAGTTCCAGATAAAGGAAGGCTGTATGAAGGTTCGGAGATGAGATGACAGTGACTGAGGATTGTAGGTGGGTCAGAATGACAAGAGATTAGGAGGTGGCTGTGGAGCGAGTATAAGAGATAAAATGAGGAGTTAGCAGAGGGCACATGATGAGTCCTTTTATGGCATGTTAGGGAATTATACCTTAAATTGGGGCGATAGCCTTTGGGGAGTATTCAGCAGAGAAGTGGTAAGTTCAAATATGTATTTTATGAAATCTTTGACACTGCATTAAAAAAGTTGTATTTTGGAAAATACATTCTAGTTGCAATCTAGTTAAGTGGTATTTCAAGAAAGAAAAAAGAACCATTTATAAAGTTGTATTTTCATTGTATTTCAGTCTTATCATAATAGTAACGTGAACCTTATCTGGAGAGTAATTTGTGCGAAATCCCATATAGTAGGTATTCAGTTAATATTCGATAACTTGATTGAAATATTATCCAAACTATTATTAAAATCTTTTTTTTTCCCCCACTAGCAGAAACATGAATCAGAAGCTGCTAAAGTTGGAGAACTTGCTACGATTTCACATGATTTATAGGCAACTGCACGGCTTGGATCAGAGAAGAATATTAGCACAGTGGAAGCATGGGTTTTCATCTGCTTCCCCAGGGTGGGCAGCTCAGCCACATGCCTGGCCCTGGCAGACAGATGTGTTCCTTGGTACTGCTTTATCTCAGTATAGGTTTCTAGTAACTAAGAAGGTAGTTGTAAATTTCTGTCACTTATTGTACTATTTGGTCAGATATGAAAGTATCTATCCATAAGTAGAATTCCATTTTGGGTGTTTTGTCTTTTATGGACTTTTTATTACTTAATGTTATACTCCCAGCAATAGATGTTTGTGGGAAAGGGAAATTCTGGTTAGTTATGTAGTAATAATGTTGGTAAATTTGATTATGTGGAAATAAGTCTAAAAGAGTGAATTAAGGAGGCAGGGATTTTAATTTTAGTTTAAAATGTAACTACTTATGAGACTGTTGAATGTCTATGATTGTAATAGATATTCCAGAATAACTTTTCAGTTATCACTAAAATTTTCTCTTATTTCTTGTGTATATGTTTGTCTTTTTAATAGGAAAAAAGACCCTGGAAACCTCAGTTATCTTCAACAAAATCTAAAAAAGAAGTAGCAGTATGGATTGGAATGACTGTCGAGGAATTGGCCAGAGCAATGGAAAAAGACGTAGGTGGGCAGAGGAGTTAACAAATCTCCAGTATTTAATGATACTCTTACTTATAAATGAATAACATCACATTTTAATATCTTATGTACAGCAGTGATGCTTAGCGTTTGCTTAGGATTGTTGAAACAGTATTGGTGTTTTTATTACAAACTGATATTAAATTCAGTGTAGAAAAAATAATATGTTTCTGTTGCAAAATGACAAGATTTTTGAAAAAAAAAAAAAAAAAACTCATGTTTGTTGAGCTGTTAATGCACTAGCACTTGTATGTACTTTATAATTCTCAAAGTGCCCTAGAAATAAATATTCTTACTTATACGACAAGAAAGTAAGCATCGGGATGTTAAATGATTGCTGGTATTTTCACAGCAAATGTGTAGTAAGTATGAGAATCTGAACCCAGAGTGTGTTTACAGAGCAGATTCTCTTGTTCACTGACTAAATTATCTTCAAGAATTATTTTGTAAATTATAGCAGAGCCCAAATTTAATGTTTCCTGCCCAAAAGTATTACCACTAAAGTGTGTGTTTTCCTATGTAGAACAGAAAATTAGTGCACTGTCTTGCATTTTCATAGCTTTGCACTTGGATTATACACTCATTTTATAATTGGGAGATGTGAGGTATAAGTGGACGTGGCTGCATCATGTAGAATTTTTCCAAGAAAAACTATATTGATATAATTTTATAAATAATATTGATAAGAGACATGATTCTTTAAGCTTTATTATTGGATATTTTTAAACATAGATTCAGAAAAAAATGGAATGCCTAAGATGTATGCCTAAGCCAGTTACAATCGTTAATCATTTTATCCATAAACACTTGAGTACTTTTCTTTTTAAAATAATACTGCACACATGCACACATACCACACAGGAACTCAGGAATAATTCCTGGAGCCAGGCATGGTGGCACACTTGAGTAATCCCAGCACTCAGGAGGCCGAGGCAGGAGGATCACTGTATGTTCAAGGCCAGCCTGAGCTATATAGTGAGACCCTGTCTCAGTAATTTTTTGATGTCACCAAATAAAATAAATAAAATACAAACTTAGTTCAATGGAATAGTGCTCTACACCTCACACTATTTGCTGTGATTTAAATAATAGCCTTTTAAAGCTTAAGATTCAAATCATTTTGAATTAAAGATAGTTTTCATAAGATAATTACTTGTAACTACTATATGTATTAGCAATATGAATATGCAGTTTTTCTCTTCCCCTAGATCAGTTAAAATAGCTTGATGTGATATTTTGGATTGAAGTGCTTTGAGCCTCTCCAGTAACTGAGATTATAGGCATGTGTCACCTCAGCCACCAAGAAACTGGCTTCTGTGGGAATGGAGGGTTGTTTATTTTTTATTTTCTGTGGTATTTTGCATCAAATCAGGGGCCTCCTCCCACATGCTAGCAAACACTTTATCACTGAACTACACCCTTAGGCCCTTGGGCACTTTTCTACATGTAAATATTTAGTTTCAGATGGATACAATAATGTATTGATGTTATATATGTTGGAAACAGTAGTAAACAATTATTTGGGATTTTAGCATAATTTAAAACAACATTATATTTATAGTTTTTATGTTTTGAAGTTCTGTGGGCATATCCATATAGAAAACTTGACCTGCAGCATTCTTAAAATGTGTTTTCTGGGGAAAAGATTTGGGAAAAAAATAGGAAATTGTTTCTTGTTCTACTATTGAGTAGGGCATGTGGCTCTCCGGGGCTGGCTTGTATCACTTTACAATCTCAGTAGCTGACAGAAACTTAACTCATGAATTATGTTTGCAGGTTGTTAAATACAACCATTTTAAAAAGTTAAATCATAAAGGCTAGTAAAAGCCCATCAGAGTCTTCATTTCCCAATTGTTTTACTGCTTTTGCGATTTCCTGTTTTGATTATTTTCAGGTTACTCTTGTCTTAGCTGTATGATAGAGTGCCAGGTAATAGATAAATGCTCGGTGCTACGGTGCACCTCTTTCATCTCTGAAGTCACTGAATTCATGCTGGACCTTAAAATCAACCCTAGCTGCAGTATTCCCACCATACAAATTCAGAAATGCTGTAAATCAGGAGAAAACACTTTTACCTTCTTTTTTTTTTTTTTTTGTCTTTTTCCTTTTTATTGGTACCAGGGATCAAACTCACGACTGCCCGCTTATAAGGCAGGCGCTTATGCCGCTGAGCTAAATCCTCAGCCCCGAGAAAACACTTTTGAGAGCCTTGTTATTAAAGGATCAGCAGTGGAACAGGTGTTCCTGTAGTGTAAGGTTCTGATGGATCCTTTCATTTATATCTCCTCTATAAATTTATAGAGTGACTGTAAGTCTGGAAATATAAAACTTATTTTATCATCAGTACAGATATATGTATGGGGAAATATGACTGAGATTAAAAGAAAGCACGTGAAATAAAATGAAAAAGAATGAATAGTTTCCTAAGTTTCTGAAGTATGGACATGCGCAGTCAGAGATACAGTCTGTGTATGAGTGTGTGTGTACATACAGGCAGTTCTCAGCCAAGCCTGGTGCACATCTCTGTCACTTCAACACTTGGGGAGGCTGAGGCAGGAGAGTCAGAAGTTAGAACCCAGCCTACGCAGTTTAGCAACTTAGCAAGACTGTCTCAAAATAAAAATTTAAAATAAAGGCTGGGAATGTAATTCAGTATGAAGGGCCTGGATTTAATCTCTAGTAATACCAAAAATAAGTAAGTAAGTAAATAAATAAATCTTCATTTTCCATGAATTCTGTATTTACAAATTTGCCTGCTCAGTAAAATGTGTTTATACCTCAAAAATCATTACTTTGAGCGCTTGTGGCGTTATCTGTGCATGTGTTGGTGAAAAATTTGAGTCGCCTTGTGCATGTTTTCCAGCTAAGGTTGTACAAGGTGATACTCTGCCTCCCTGATTGACCTCTCATACTGTAGACAGGAAAACTTTTCTTCGTTTGGCTTTTTGTTTGTTTGTTACTGAGTTGTTGAGACAGGGTGTTGTAGTGCAGGCTGGCCTTGAACTTACTATGTAGCCCCGGGCTGGCCTCAAACTTGCTTCCCTTGTCCTTCCTCAGCCTCCTGAGTGCTGGGGTTATAGACTGTGTGCCACCATGTGTGGCTCAAGAAACTTTTTAATAGTCTGTTGAGCACCATGCTTTTTGAATTTTTGTGCTTTGTGATCTTGCTATTTAAATAGCCCCTAGGTAAAAGTGTTGAAGTGCTGTTGCATGTTCGTAAACACAAGAAAGGTGTGATCTGTCTTTTAAGAAAATAAGTAAGGCACTCAGGCTAAGCTTTTCCAGGGGCACTTACTAGCTTTGAGTTCCACATTGGTAAATCAAATATATTTGTTACTGTTGTTTTTGTTTTTTGTTTGCAGTACGGCCGATTGACCCAGGGCCTTCACATCGGGCTACATTCCTAGGCCTTTTAAAATGTTTTGTTTTGAGATAGTTGTTAAGTTGCCCAAGCTGGCCTCAAACTTGTGGTCTCTTGCTTCAGCCTCCCATAGTGCTGGAGTCACCATACTTAACTTCAACAATATGTATTTTCAAGGTGTCATTAGATAGAAACACATTAAACAGGAGTATTTACTGATCAATTGATGAAATGCTGTGACTAGAGCCTCGAAGAAACTGAACCCTATATTTCCCCTAAGAGTAGTGGTTCAGTATTTATTAGTCTTTATTTGTTGCAGTTTTGTATATACAGAGCTATTCCAAATAGTAAGAATCAACTTTGTTAAATGCATACCCTTGTGTATCTGTGTGATATATGAGGCTTCAAGTTTACAAAGGAAACACTGATCAAGTATAGATGCAAAACACATACAGTATACAACTTCACGTTTTGTTAATGGTTCAGTGTATTCAGAAGGTGTATAAATGTTCAAATATTTTTACATATGCAGAAGTGTCAGCGGTGTATCATATTTTAAAACATTAAAAAATTTCTCAGCTTCTTTGACTTGTTAACATTAGAGAAACAGTTTATATACATATATAGCCCACTGAGAGTACTATTTACATAAAGTTTCGTTAATACAGGTCATTCTTAAGCATTTAATTCTTGATCCTAAAACATTTTGTTTCATTCCAAGCAGATTTCGTGTATGAAGGTTTATTGAACACTGCTGTTGACATTGATTCTCTAGAAGCACGCTCACGTTTAGATGAAGTCTGGATCAAAGAAGTGATAAAGAAAGCAGGGATGAAACTGAAGTGGAGCAAATTAAAACAGGACAAAGTCAGAGAAAACAGAGATGCTGTCAGAAGGTAAAATACACCTGAGACCAGAGGGAGGAGACCATAGTGCCTAAATCACACTTCTTAATGTGAAGATCTGCCTTAAAATTAGTTTTAATTAAAATAATTTTTGGAGTTATTTTTCATAAATGCTGAGTGTATATTTTGGTGTGAATTTTAAAAGTTGGTTCAGTTGGGGGCTGGGGATTTAGCTCAGTGGCATAAGTGCCTGCCTTGCAAGCAGGCGGTCGTGAGTTCGATCCCCAGTACCGATAAAAATGAAAAAGACAAAAAAAAAAAAGAAAAGTTGGTTCAGTTTTTCCCATTGCTACCTAGATACAAACCATAGATAATCATTAAATAATCTCTTTTAAGTCACTATGTATAGAGAAGAGGAAAGTAGTTATATGTAATCAAATCATTAGATTTTATTGTTAATGGTAGTCACAGAAATAACTGCAAACCAATTCACTGGTTATAAAGTGTTTTTCTTATTTAAGAAGTGAAACTCCTTTGCTGTTAATTGTAGGCCACAGGCAGATCCAGCTTTATTAATCCCAAGGTCCCCAGTTGTTACTATAATGGGCCATGTTGATCATGGGAAAACGACGTTACTTGACAAACTTCGAAAAACTCAAGTGGCAGCAATGGAAGCTGGAGGCATCACTCAGCACATTGGTGCCTTTCTTGGTATGAACATAAATTACCTTACCATGTGCCTAGGACCCCCCACTTACTTTTTTTAAGTAAATGTCATGATATGAAATATATAAGTTCAAAGTAAAGGGGAAGGCTAAAGCTTAAAGCCATTGAATTGGTAAATATAGAGCAGTTGGTTAAAAGTCATTTTGTGTTTTCTAGAAGAAAATCAGCTGGGCATGTTGGTGCATACCTGTAATCCCAGCGCTTGGGAGGCTGAGGCAGGAGAATCAGTGAATGTTTGAGGCCTGTCTTGGTTACATAGAGAGTTCAAGGTCAACCTGAACCGCCAGACCCCGTCTCAAAATAAATAAATAAGGAAAAGAAGAAGAAAATCATCTCACTGCTTTTATTATTGTCCATTCTTAGTTTGGTGTAATGAACCTAAATTTTTCACTTAATTAAGATTATACAACATCCAATGTTAGGTTGTGATGATGTTGCTATTACTAAATAATAGCTATCATTTACCAAACACTTAGTATGTGCCCAGCCCTTCTCTAAGCAGCTTATTTGCTTCATCTTTACAACAGCATCATGAGGTAGGTATTGATATGTGTACTTGGAGATAAGGAGACTAAGACTTCTTCAGATTAAGAAACTTACCTGAAATACCTAGTAACTGGCAAAGCCAGGATTTAAACCTGCAATTGTTGGACTCAAATGTCAAGCTACTAACTGTATACCAAATTGCTTTTCTATGCCTCTGGGAAGTTGTGGTTTGCTAATTGTAGGCATGACTGTCTATACAGCTATTGATTTGATCTGTTATCTCCCCAGATTAAATGTCATTTGTTACATTTATGAAAGTAGCTATATTCAAGAAATATGAAGAGTTTAGTTTGCATGAAAAGAAAACTCTGAAGGTCTCATTGATATTTTATAAGGTTTCATTATAAATGTCAGTTTGTGTTCTAATTAAGAGATTAGTAATATAGTTATTTTAAAGAGCATCGTATTGATAATGTCATGTATATTGCTTCATGTTAATGAAGCACGCATATGAGTCGTTGGTGTTGTTGGGTTTGTTTCCACAGTCTCTCTGCCTTCTGGGGAAAAGGTAACTTTTCTGGATACTCCAGGACATGCTGCCTTCTCAGCAATGAGAGCCAGAGGTGCTCGGGTCACTGACATTGTTGTGTTGGTTGTGGCTGCAGATGATGGGGTGATGAAACAAACTATAGAATCTATTAATCATGCCAGAGATGCTCAAGGTATTGTGCGACTCAGCCATATCAGGAAAAAGGTTGCCTTCTAAATTTTTTTTTTAAAGATTTTCTATGTAAAGTTGCACTTTTTTTTAAAAATTGGTACATGCACTTCAAAGATAATTAAATTGTTTTCCTGCAAACATGTAGCTAAAAGGAGTGAAGTAGGATTTAACTGGGGCTGTCAAATACAGTTTTTCTTCTACTGTGACTATGAAAAAAATAAAAACTGTATCATGGAAAATTTAGACAGATGGAAAATAAGAATAGAATGATGAACTCCTATTTTCCCATCACCTAAATTCATTAGTAGTTGCACACTGGTGATACTGTTATTCCTTGTTCATTTACCTGAAATTCTTTTTTTTTTTTTTGAGACAGGGTCTTGCCATGCAGTTTGAGTTGGCTTTGAGCTCACTGTGTAGACCAAGCAGCCCTTGAATTCTCAGTAATCCTCCTGCCTCAGGGTCCCAAGTACTGAAATTATAGGCATGTGCTGCCATGCATAACTTAAACTTTTCTTTCATCTGCTTTAAATAAGTTATTTGATCCAAGGTGTTAAGTAGAAACTTGGAAAATCACTTAGGCATCTTCTTTACTTTTTCATTTAAAATTATAATAAACACACACACATATTCCATACATTTATTCTTATTCTGATATGTTACAACTGCCCCCCACCAAAAAAATACACCTGATGTGGTGTCATATCCCCCCCTCACACCTCACCGTATCCCTGCTCCCAGGTTGACAAAGAAAGAAACCAGGTTGACCATTACTGATCACGGCCAAGTCTTTCATGCTACAACATGAAAACAGACCCAGACGTTAGCAGCTAGAAAGCTCCCCAGTTATATATGGTTACATAGCTAATTTGTAACTTGTCTGAATTTGGGGTCTAGACCTTCGAGCTTCCAGTGTTACTTTCTTTTTTGTTATTTATTTATTTTTATTAAGTTTATTGGTACAATTTAGATATATGTAATAATCACATTCATCAAAGAGAATTTGTACATACACATGATATATTCTCTTTCCTCTTTTTTTCCTAATCCCGTCTCACCTCTTCAAACACTCTCTCCCTCCTTGCTTATGAAGCTTTGTTTCCATTTTATCCTTTAATTCTTTTCCCCCCTTCCTTCCTTTCTCCTTAACCTTCCCTGGTTCTCCTTTTGAACCATTTCTTCCTGTTCCACTATACCTATTATACACTTTGGTCTTTATTTACCCTTTCGGTGTCTTACATCAAAGAAAGAATGGGATATTTACACGTGTGTCTGATTTATTTCACTTAAGAGTGTGGTGTTGTCTTTTCAATTTTTTAAAACTGCCTCTGTGTGTCGTAGTGATTCTAAGAAATATATGGTGAAAAGAAAAGAGGGATAAGTTTGCCCTGGATCCTATGCCAGTCAGTTAGCTGAGTGGGATAAAATGCATTATATCATGCATTCTACTTCTGTTCTTTTGGTCTCTGTTAGGTTAAAGCTCATCAATATGGAATACATTTTTGACAGTAGAAGGTTGTAGATTGAAAATTTTTTTGTGCCGTGTTCAATTTCTTTGACCCTGAGAAAACTGCAGAGATTAGTGAAACTCAACTAGAATTGTCTCTCTCAAATAGAATTATGATCTCTCTGATGAGAGGATATGTTTAGTTATGATAAACAGATTATAAAGGTTTTTCGTTTATTTAGTAAGTATATATTTGTTTACTATGTTGATCACTGAGTTAGGTGTTTGAATAGAGGTGCCATTAGTCATAAAAGGAAATTGCAAAAAGGATACACCCCACTCTACCCCACTCTCACCACCAGCAAATGATCTGGTGGTATTGAATTAGATTCTTTTAATTTCTTTTTCTTGGAGATTATTATCAGTGTATTATCAATCTTATTTTCAGGTTTAAGGATAGGCCTCTCTACCCAAAATACTGTTTTTTATGATCATGTCAGATATCTTAATCAGAATCTCCTTATAATTACATACTAATATTTTGTGTCTGAATTCCTTCTTTATATGTAAAAAGCAGAGTGGGGTGGTACAAATCCAAATAAGGGTTTTTAAGCCTTCTGTTAAGTACATTCATTGAATAAAAGCCAGAGCAGATTGATATCACTGTGAGTACCCGAAATTGAAGATGTTCTCATTTGTACTCTTCTTAACTTTGTGTTTTTTAGTTCCTATTGTTCTTGCAATAAACAAATGTGACAAAGCTAAGGCTGACCCTGAAAAAGTGAAGAAAGATCTGCTGGCTTATGACGTGGTGTGTGAAGACTATGGAGGGGAGGTGCAAGCAGTGCATGTGTCTGCACTTACGGTAAGATGCGCACGTCTCAGGGACAGATGTGCTCAGAGGCAAGTTCTGTCCTCAGACATTTCAAAATACATAATTTATGTTGTTGGAAAAAGTTAGTATTATACTGTTGTGACTGATTAGGCTCAGAGAGTTCAGTTAGCAGTTCAGAGTGGTATAACTCATCTGTGGGAAGTTAATTCTAATCCTAATGTTTTATAAATTGTGAGCTACTTAGAATGAAGGAAATAGATGATAAATGATATGGGAAATAGAATAACAGCAGGCTGTTTGAAACCGAAATGGAACTCAGTTGTACACAAAATATATTTCCATGTCTTTACTTTTCCTAAATTTGTTCCCTCCAACATGCTTAGAAATTATACTTCTACTCATAGTGAAACATTTCTGTTCCTCTGAAATTCATTAAATGGGATTTATTTTACCTCTCCAATGTGTCTCAATTGTAATTGCTCTCTGATAGCTAGGTGGCAAATTTACTACAATACAATTGAAACACCTTTTCTAGGATAACGTTGGATGAATTGATAGATGTAAAGCTGCTAAGACATGCCAGAGATGATTCCCAAAGGGTAGTGAGAACCGGGAGAGGTTGGCAGGGAAGTCAGGTGAAGTCTTCTTTTGCAGGACATAAAGACTACTTCATGCAAGAAAAGCCTGGCTCTGCTTTTCTGTTTGTTTGGGTTTTTTTTAAGACAGTATTTTGCTTTATTCCTCAGGCTGGGCTTGAATTTATAATCTGCCCATCTTAGTATCCCTAATAGTTGGGTTACACATGCACACCACTGTGTCAGCAGCAGCTCCACCTTTTGAGCAGCATTTTATAAAATTAAAACAAAAATTAGAAATAAGTGGGTGAGGAAGCAAAGCATTTAGTTTTTTCCTTTTCCATAGTTGTCTGTAATAACTTTGTGCAGTCTCTTAGCTGCCGTGAGGATGGAAAAAGCCCATGCCCATTAGTTCTGCTTCCATCACCATTCATCAGGTCTGACCGTGGAGCTCTAGGGAGCTTAGTAAACATAAATCATTACAGGAAAAAGAATAATGTAATCTAGCTTCTTCATTTCACAGACATGTACTTGACATCCATGAAATTGAAGTTATCTTTCAGGGTAGGTGGTTATAGAGCATGGCCTAGAGCCTGGGCATTTTTCTCCTCACTTAAAGTCTACATAATGCTTGATACTTACTTTACAGAATTCATTTTGTTTTGTTTTATTTTGTTTTGTTTTGTTTATTTGTTCTTTTGAGACAGGGTCTTGCTTTGTAGTCTAGGCTGGTCTGGAACTTGCAGTGGTCCTTCTGCATCCACCTCCTGAGTGCTGGGGTTACAGGCATGTGCACCACTACTGGCCTTTACAATATTCTTGAGTACATTAAATGATATAATAGATATGAAGGTTTATTCAGTTGATAAAAGTTGAAATATTGAGTAGCATCATTAGGAAAGTTAGAAGAAAAACACAATTGGAGAGGCACATAGAGGAGAAAAAGAAGGAATAAATCACGTGTTTGGGAAAGGATATTAACAAATATCAGTAGCCAATGTATTTTTAAAAATACAGTTCCTGGGAGGCTGGGGATTTAGCTCAGCGGCATAAGCACCTGCCTTGTAAGCAGGTGGTCGTGAGTTCGATCCCCGGTACCGAGAAAAATTAAAAAAAAAAAATACGATTCCTTAAAAGTTCTGTCCCTGGTTAAGGGTTTTTTCCTGGTTTTTCTCCTCTGCTTTTTTTTTTAATTTCCAAAGTATTCTTTGTTCAGAAACTTCAAAAACTTCTCCTTTTTGTCAGATGGTTTTGTAACATATTAATACTTGTTCAGAAACATGAAAGCTGGCTCATACAAGCATTTTGTGTTAGTAGATTACTCACTCAGAAGGGCATGCAGAAGTATTTGGTGTTGTGGCTTCTGAGGCTACAGGAATGACCTGGATTGTCTTCCTTTTTTTTTTTTTTTTTTTTGGTTGGTTATTTGAAACAGTTTTGGTATGTAGTTTACGCTGGTCTTCAACTTGCTATGTAGCCCAGACTGGTGTCAAACTCCAGGGGATCCTTTTGCCTCAGCCTCCTGAGTGCTGGGGTTACAGGTGTGTACCACCATGTCTGGCTCCCTTTATTTTTATTTATATCTTTTTCTTTTTTTAATTGGGTAATTCATAGTGTTAATGCTTAAAGAGAAAAGTGCAACTGTTAAGAGATTATTTTGCTTTCTGACCCGGGTGTTTACATTTACAGATAATAGATTTTAATTTTGTTGTTAAAGGGTGAAAATCTGATGTCTTTGGCAGAAGCAACAATTACTCTTGCAGAAATGTTAGAATTGAAAGCAGATCCCAGTGGTCCAGTGGAAGGAACAGTAATAGAGTCTTTCACAGACAAAGGACGAGGGTAGGATTGCACTAAATCTGTTCTTTTTAATAATTTTGTTCCATGATTTTATATTTAATTATATAACAATGTTATTAACAAATATTGTTTTATTATTTTATTGCATGTTTTATTTTTGCATGTTGTCAGTTCATGAACAATATTTGCAAAGCATTTGTTTTATAAAGTTTTATTTTACTAGCACACAGAATACAAAAATGAAGTATAGACTTTAGCAACTGTCTGTGTGCAACCTGTCATACTTACATGGCATAAGTAGTTTAGTTTGTTTTTTTTCCCATTGACTTCATTGTTAAAACCTCATAGACTAACAGAAATACTAATTGTTACCTTTCAAGTTTCTAAAATGTTTATGACTTTACTCATTAGTGTAATATATAGTAAGAGGTCTTCGAAATGATGGTCTCTTCTTGAAATGAGGTTTCTCATTGCTTCAAGCACTGTAATAACAACTACGAGCAGTCATTCAGCTGACTTGGAGAGTAGTATAGAAAGAATTAAAATTTTGTCTGAATAGTCTGTACCCTCCCTTTCCATAACCATGCAAGAATTCTTTTCCCTCTTTCTGTTTTTTTTTTTTTTTAAGTAGTAGAGATTTAACCCAGGATTTCATACATGCTCTGAAGTGCTGTACCACTGAGCTACATCTTCAGTCCTTTTAAAAGTTTATTTAGAGAAAATATTTCATTAAGTTGCCTAGGGTGGCCTCTAAATTATGATACACCTGCCTCAACCTTCCAAGAAGCTGGGTTTACTGGTGTGCAGCACTGTGTTTGGCTGATGTTAACTTTTTAAGTGTAAAGTTTGGTGGTGTTAGGCAGTATATTCACATTGGTATACAATAGTCTCTAAAACTTCTTCCTTTTGCAGCCTTGAAATTGTATACTCATTAAAGACCAACCCTTAATGCTGCCATTCATCTATGGGTGAACGTTTGGGTTGCAACCTTAGCAGTTGTGAAGCAATGGCGTTTTGTTCATTTCTTTTTGTTTGTGGGGGCTGGGATCAAATCCAGGGCCTCACACATGCTAGGCAAGTGCTCTGCCTCTGAGATATACCTCCAGCCCTATAAATACTTTATAGTATCAAAAAGTGAAAAATTGAGAGGAGAACTAACCCTGTGGACACCTAGGTTTATATATATTTCAAACCTCATAAAGATATCTTTGCTCTACTTAAGAAAGTATAATTACTGCATATCTTACTTGTGACATTAAGAATAATATATTCATTTTAGTCCTGTTACAACAGCTATAATTCAAAGAGGAACTTTGAGAAAAGGCTCAATTCTGGTTGCTGGAAAGAGTTGGGCAAAAGTACGCCTAATGTTTGATGAAAATGGAAAAACAGTCCATGAGGCTTATCCCAGCATGCCAGTAGGAATCATAGGCTGGAGAGACCTTCCTTCTGCAGGAGATGAGATTATTGAAGTCGAGTCTGAGGTACATCATATTTAATTTCTGTATGTTAGAGATAATATAATGTTTTTAAATATAATCTCTAGTGTTACATCAAATAAATGTGTTAATATTAATAAATAATTCTATAAAAGGGGCCAAGAGGTGGCCAGTTGTGCCATTTTAAAATTGGTTACAAAACTAAAAATTTCTTTATTTAAAAAAAACTGGGGGCTGGGGATTTAGCTCAGCAGCATAAGCGCCTGCCTTGAAAGCAGGCAGTCGTGAATTCGATACCTGGTACCGATAAAAACGAAAAAGCCAAAACAAACAAACAAAAAAAAAAAAAAACTGAACAAAATAAAACAAAGCCAATAAAAATAAAACAAAGTGATATAGGGCTTCAAATCAAGATAAGAAATCAACAATGTTAAACCACACCTTTAGGAGCAAAAAAAAAAAAAAAGAAAGAAATCAACAATGGCTACCATAATGTCTCTTGTTTTCTTCAGAATAGCTGTCCATACCATTAGATATAATAAAATCAAACAAAACAATAAAACCAATCAAAAAAAAACAATGCAAGCACTACAGGACTTCCAAACTCGATAATAGGAAATCAACAATGGCTACCATAAAGCCTTTTGTTATTTTCAAAATAGCCGCCCATACCATCCAAACATAATAAAACCAACCAAAACAAGACAGAATAAAACCAAACCTCAAACCAAAATACAACAACAAAAGCAAAACTACTTAACAATGGTTGTTACATAGCATGTTATTTTCAAAATAGTTGCTCAAGTTGCCAGATACAGGAGCAAAACAAAACAGTAAAATGGAACATTGGATTTCAAAAACAAGGCAGATGAAAATCCCCAAAAGTTGCTATAATGCATATTGCTATTCTTCAAATAGATGCTCAGACTACCAGTTTTTGGCCTTCAAAGTCAGTCAAACAATACAAGTATTAAGTAGTTGTTTTTACTTCAGTTGCTATCAACTCAGCCTGACTTCCTCCACATCAGTCAGTTGCTGATGAGGTGGGGGGAGAAGGTGGGGAGTGTTGCTCTTGTTCACTCCAGCTGGCTCACAGGAAGGTGTGGTTTGGCTTCATGATTCTCTTCCTGTTCCCCATGCCGGCCCCTGACTCATGGGAATGCGTACTTTGGCTTATAAAAATTTGAGGCAAAATGTTAAAAGTCATATCACTTCAATTACATACAAAGTTCCCAAATTAAAATTCATGAACCTTAAAGATGTAGTGGTTTCTTACGTGAGTTAAGCTTATTTCATAATGAAGGAAAACACAAAACCTTTAGTGTAGTAGATATTCTTGTCTATTTCATTAAATAATGACAGGTTCTCCCCCATAAAGGCACGGGCACGGGAAGTCATTGATTGGAGAAAGTTTGAGCAAGAACAGGAAAAAAGTAAAGATGACCTGAAAATAATAGAAGAAAAGCGAAAGGAACACCAAGAAGCGTATCAGAAAGTCCGAGAGAAGTATGGCACTTTGCTTTGGAAGGAGCGAGCATTCATCAAGTACTTAGAAAGGAAAGAGCAGAAACACTTGAGGCCAAAAGAGAAAGCAAAAAGAGATTCAAATGTACTTCCTGTAATTATTAAAGGTACCTTCTAAATGTCTTACAAGTTTTTTTGTTTCTGTTTTTGGTGGTGGAACCCAGAGTCTCACGCGTGCTAGGCACGTGCTTTGTCACTGACCACATACCCATCCCTTTTTACATCTATATTTTGAACAGAATCTTGCCAAATGCCCAGGCTAGCCTTGAGCTTGCAATCCTCCTGCCTTAGCCTCTTGAGTAGCTGGGATTATGGGTATCACCTCCATGCCCAGCGCAGCTCCCTTTTTGAATACACATATTTATTCTCATGATTTTTGAGGGACCTTTTCCAGAATAAACATACTTTTTGCTGCTTTTGTAAAAATACACATTTTCCAGTATACTTTATTATATATTTTAATGTTAAATCTAAATAAAAGTGGTTTTCTAGTGCTAAATGCCACGCATATCTTAACTTTTTCTTGTTTGAGTTTTGAGACAGTCTTGCTCTGTAGTCCTGGCTGGCTTTAAGCTTACCCTGAAGCTCATGCTGGGCTCAAATTTATGATGATCTTCCTAGCCTCCCAAATGCTAGGATTATAAGGGGGAACCAACACACCCAGCTGCATATTTTGACTAAATATATCATTGTCATTTTTGTATTTATCACTGCCTAATTCCATACTATCAGTTTTAAACTTTTGCTTTATTTAGGTGACGTTGATGGTTCTGTTGAGGCCATTTTGGACATAATAGATACCTATGATGCTTCACATGAATGTGAACTGGAATTGGTACATTTTGGAGTAGGTGATATTAGTGAAAATGATATCAACTTTGCTGAAACATTTGATGGTAAGGATTCTATTTCCTGTTCGTTGAACTGTGTTCCCTAGATTGTACTGTGAACCCTTCTGTCTTCTGTTGCTTGGCTCGTCAGACCTACCATGCCCACGGAGTCATCCTTCCTACTGTAGTGCAGTCCCGGCTAGCGACTGAGGCTGGCTGTGCAGCACTGCAGCCGCACCTCCCCACTTGTCGTGGATTACTGCAGCTTGGGGAATTGTTTCATGATCCAGGAGTGCTGCCTCCTTGCTTCTAAAGCCACTCTGTCTTCCATTCTCCACACAGGCAAAGGTCGATTTTTCTCTGTATCTTTTAATAATACAGATTTTGAGTGCATAGAACACTATACTGAGCTTAATACTTCATCTTTTACTTTTTAGCTGTTTTTGTTAATTGATAACTTCATAATCTTATTTTTTAGATCAAAAACTTTTTTTAAGCTTTAAATGCCTATGAGGCAAGAGGGACTGCTTTATGAATTGAACTTACAGTACACAATGAAGGGACTCATGACTAAAGCACCACCATAGCTGAGTTATTAATGAATCATTTAGGAAATGGTATCTAATTCTAATCAATAATCATTTTTACTACTGAAAAAGTATTTTCAGTAATGCTCTTTAATTCAGAGTATTTGTTAGATACTAACTAACCTAGCACTATGCTATGGAAAGGTAGACTGCATTAAAGGATTTCATAATGATGACTTTTTGAGGTGATTGTTTTTCTCTTGATTAAGCTGTTTGGGCATGTTTCTGCCACTCATTTTAAGGTAGGTATATTTTGCTTTTGCTTCTCTCACCAAGTATTTATAGTTAAATATATTATTCTTAGGTAAAATGCCTGGTTCTGTGAAATTTCTTTTGGGTACCTCAGTGTAGACCACAAAAATTGAGTTGAATAGGTCCGGGGATTTAGCTCAGTGGCACAAGTGCCAGCCTAGCAAGTGTGAGGTCAAGTTTGATCCCCAGTACCAAAAAAAGACAAATAAATGGTTAAAATACAATATTTGTGCTAATTATATTTCTGCTTGCCAGGTATTATATATGGTTTCAATGTGAATGTAAGCAATATCATCCAGCAGTCAGCTGCAAAAAAAGGAGTAAAAATTAAACTTCACAAAATCATTTACCGTCTTATTGAAGATTTGCAAGGAGAACTGAGCAACAGAATGCCCAGCACTGTGGAGGAACACCCGGTAGGTGAGTGTTCACTGACTGTTACTTTAAAAAATATCTCTGGTTCTGTAAAAAGTGCTTCAAAGTATAGTTAGGGGAAATATATTCACTGTTCCAATGTAGTCCTACATTCCAGGAAAAGAAAAAAAGACTACTATGAGAATATGGTGACCTCATGTGTGTTATAATACATGTTCCAGTAACACCTGGTGCTGTTTAAGCACTGGAGCTGTGAAGGCAAACAAGCAGTAAGAATTTGCCTTCACGTTTAGAGATGAACAGCTCGCCTACAAATTCAGTTGGGATGGGAGGCAAAAAGATTTAGTGTCATGGGAAGGAGCCATTTTGTCCTGGAATTGGCCAGGAATATACTTTCAGAAGAAAATTTGTTTATATTTAAATATTACATATTTACATATCCTTGTGTAAATGTTGGCCAGATTAAAGGATGGATGAAAAACTATGAGACATTGTGCCCAAGCTCTGAGGATGTGTGTTTATCTCTTAGAAAATCACATAGTAGTGATCAAACTAAGAAAGTTGATAATGCTGCTATCTAATCATCTATATTCAAACTATCTGTTGTCCCAACAATTTACTTTTTATCATTTTTCTCCTACTCCAGGTTCACAGATGATATTTGTCCTATCTTTTTAGTTGTTTTTAAATTTGAAAGTTTTGAAGTGTGTATAGGTCATCAACTTTATAAATGTACCTTAATTTTGAATTTATCTGATATTTCCTCATAATGGTATTTGATTTCGCATTTGTGGTCCTAATACGCATATTCCTTGGGCTTCCATGATCATAAGGTTTTCATGTTTGTTTTTAATGTTTTTATCCGTACAGCTATTTCAAGAAGAGTCGTATGTGAGGGTTTCTAGAAGTGAGCAAACATACCAAATGCCACTAGTCAAGTATCACCTTAGAAAACTGGTAATTGTAGAGCATGGTGTTGGAATTTTAATTTTCAGCCAGAAACAAACCTTATTGAATTAGTACTAAGGGGATATAAAAACATTGAAGTGATTTAAAAATTAATGATAGTTATATACTCTAGAAAATAATTTGAAGGAAAGCTGAAAGCTACAGTTTTCATGAACAGACAGGAATCGCCAGGGATTTTTGCTTGTTATTCCTCATTATTGATCATGAAAATAAAGTTGGTGCAAAGCAGTCAGGGCTGTTTCTTATGCTTGAACTCCTCCTTTGCCCCTTTCATGCTGGGGTCATACCTAGGTCTTCATCCCTGCTAGGCAAGTGCTATCCCACTAAACTACATCTCCATCTTGAGTTCACAGTAGAATGTCAGGGATTATTTCTCTGCATCAGTGTTTCTTGGTGCATTAATGTTCTTTTCTTCCTAAAGGTGAAGCTTCTGTGTTAGCTACTTTCTCTGTAACTGAAGGAAAAAGAAAAATTCCTGTGGCTGGTTGCAGAGTTCAAAAGGGACAGTTGGAGAAACAAAAAAAATTTAAATTAATGCGTAATGGACACGTTATTTGGAAGGGTAAGCAACAATATCCACCTCTGAATCATATCCTGTCACCAAAACCTGATTATGTAGCCAGTTCAAATGTGCTCATCTTTCATTCTCATAATCCTATTTTAGGCCACTTTTAACTGTTTTGTAGTTGGACTTCCTGCTTGTGTGTGCAACTGGGAACTAAACTCAGAACCTTTGCACTGAGGTACATCTCCCATGTTTAAAAAATCTTAAGAGAGGGTCTCCCTAAGTTGCTAAAATGCCCTAAAGGGTTCAAACATGTAATCCTCCTGCCTGTCTTTTGAGACTTGCTGGGATTACAGGTTTGTGTCATCATGCCTGGCTGATTGTGTTATCTCCACCAGGATTGTCTCCCAGTCCCGATATGCCAAGTTTTGAAAAATTTGCCCCAAACTACCTCTCCATTCCTACACGTCTATATACTTGACCTTTTCCTACAATGCTTAGTTTTTCCCATTTAAATCGTATCATCCTGTCCTCTGCAGTCTTTAATTTCTGAGGGTGCGATCTTGGGTTTCCTAGGTCTTCCTGTCAGCCTACAGTAGCCAGTACCCAATTATGTAGGGGCTAGTAGGCACGTGCAACCAATAGGAGGTTTAGGGTCTTGCTGCAAGTCTTCTCTACGGCTGTATCTATTTAGTTTAACATGACTAAAATTTATTAAGTTAATTTTCCTCTATATTGGCATTTAATAGGTACTTTAATTGAATATACTAACCTTTTTTTTTTTTTTAAGGTTCATTAACTTCACTGAAACATCATAAAGATGATATTTCAGTCATCAAAACTGGAATGGAATGTGGTCTCAGTTTAGATGAAGAAAAAATAGAATTTAAAGTGGGAGATGAAATTGTTTGTTACGAAGAAAAGGAAGTTCTAGCTAAGACTTCTTGGGACCCAGGATTTTAAAATTACATTAAAAATCTCAACTAAATGTTTTGCTTCATTATTTATATAGCAGCTAAGTTCTGCTTTGTTGAAGGTTAAAAGTTCACTAGTAATGGTCATAAAGTACCTGTTAAAATGTACTACAAAAACTGTCAAAAGTGGTACAAAAACAGGAAACCTTATTTAAGAAGGTGTGCAACAGGGGCTGGGGATTTAGCTCAGCGGCATAAGCGCCTGCCTTGCAAGCAGGCAGTCGTGAGTTCAATCCCTGGTACCGATAAAAAAACGAAAAAGACAAAAAAAAAAAAGTGTGCAACTAGAAATCCTTATAAAAACTACCTAAAAAGGGTACTGTGCTGTCCATTGCTGAACATGATTTAGTACTTCCTTGAATTGAGCTTCATGGGCAAAACATGGTACACCAGTATCTGTTTGAAACTAGTTTTTTTGTTAATCTTTCAAGGACTTATCCTGAATAGAACATGTAAGTTTCCAGATGCTGACGCACAACTTTAACCGGTGGCTATATTCCCTTACTTTGTAAGAAATTTCATTTAGAGGGCCTGAGGTGCATTTCTGAGTGAATTGGCAATTTCAAGTTGCATATGAATGACGTGTGGCACTGGGCACTGGGCACTATTATAGGGCTTTCACTCCTTCCCCATGGCTACTACTTTCTTAAAGGGGCCTGGGTTTCAAAGCTCAACCTCTAGCTTGCTAGTCAGGCAATGAGGTAAACCCCCAACCTATCCTTTTACTTATCCCTGGCTGGCTACTTTAAAATACCGAGACTATCTTAAGTCATCTAGGTTGGGCTTGAATTTGTGATCCTTTTACTTCAGGCTCCCAGAAGGCTGGATTACAGATGAGCAATGCCACCAAATCTGCCAGTATCTTTGAAAGAAAGGAAAGTTACTGGAGTGGAGGTGACCTTTACTTTCTATTAGTGCGAGAGGCTAGGGACCCTGCTAGTCATTTATTTTGAGATTGCTAGATCGCTATGCTATAAAGTGAAAAAACATCCAGCTCTTTCTAAGTAGCTGGCACTTTGCAATATCCAGGACCTGCAAACAGGCCACACACTATCCCAGAAGCAAAATTTATGTGATGGGAGAAGCATATTATGTTGATATCAAAATAATGTGACCATCAGTTTGACCCTCAAAAATATTCCCTTAAATGTGCAATAAAATTCAACTGCTAAACATTAGATGGAATCTTTTATTGACATATAATTACTTGTCTTCTGGTTTGTTGAAGCAGTAAGTCAGACAGCATTTGCCACAATAATGTCTATCAAAGTGGCTTGCCATAAAAACTCCAGCACCACATTCATCTGAGGGGCACTCTCGACGAAGACGACTAATTTTGCCATTTTCATCCACCTGAAAAGCATAAATCTGCTATAAGATAACTTCATACAACAAATTCTGATGTCTAATTTAAATGACCCAAAGTATCTCTCAACTTTCAAACACAATGCTAGTGGACTTTAGTGCTTATATGCCACAGTATTCTAAATTATCACCAACAATTTTAACGAGTTTTTTTAAAAAAGCTTTGCTAGTGATAGACTACATCTAAAGAATCCCTGACCTTGCTACAAACTTAGAAACCTAGTTTGGAACTAACAGCTAATGGTCAATCCCAAACAGGAAAAAGACAGAATCTTCTAAGATTTCCAGAATGTTTCACTTAGACCAAAAGTAGGATATTCAAATACTATACAATGGATATTTAAGTACTGTACATTCAAGTCCAATTATTCCTTAAGAAACTTCTGACAAGTGTTTTCATATAAACCATGTGAAAGTGGCTCACCTTATAGTATTTGAGAACTGCCAACTTGACCTTCTTTCTCTTATGCTTATTCTTTTTGGGAGTGGTGTAAGACTTCTTCTTCCTTTTCTTAGCACCACCACGGAGTCTCAGTACAAGATGAAGGGTGGACTCCTATTCATGGGACAGAAAATGAAAGACTTCTATGGTGCTTAATGGATTGGTGTCATGTATCTTCTAGTTAATATAAAAATAACAGTGCTTCTCAAAGATAGTTCAACGATCACCTGGGAACCTGTTTCGCAGTCTAATGCAATTTTCCTCATTTTTGTGTGCCAATATGTCACAAAAATTTACAAAGTAAAACTATTTTTAAAGGAATGCTTCCCCCCAAACAAACCTTTTGAATGTTGTAATCAGACAAAGTGCGTCCATCTTCCAGTTGCTTACCAGCAAAGATCAGCCTTTGCTGATCAGGAGGAATTCCTAGTGAAAGAAAAAATTTTTAGAAGAACACATGTGTGTACCAAATTTACAGACTGATAATCTTGTATTATACAACTGCTACTTACAGCTCTAATACATGTTAACAAACGTGCCCAGCAGAGATTCTAATCTAGGTAGGATGGCTCCATCCCCATAAACACGTTATATTTGAGAGCCTTTCAGTATATATGCAAATACACCCAGCACTTTTAGGTAAGCAAGTACTTAGTTTTCCTGAACTACAAAATAATATTTTGCAAACTGTCTCCAGGTAGTGCAGGCTGGCTTCCAACTCCTTGCACGCTCCTCCTGCCTCGGCCTCCTCCGTGCTGGGATCCAGGCCTAGCCCACCACGCCCCGGACCGAACTACAAACTACTACTTGCCTTCCTTATCCTGGATCTTGGCCTTTACATTTTCTATAGTGTCCGAGGGCTCAACCTATAAAATTTAAAACCCAAGTATGTTAGTAAGGAAACGAGAACCAACACTCACTTAACCCGACCGTCCCCCCAGAACCCAAGTGCAGCCCAACCGACAGCGCTGGCCCCGAAGGAGGCTCAGCCTGCCCGCCGGCCCGAGCAGGAGCCGAGACGGCCACATGCTCGCGCCGGCCAGCGAGCAGCCGCCGCCTCTGCAGCGCGGCCTCGCTCCACCTGTACCCTTGGCCGCACTATCCAGGTGACAGGCCCGTCTCAGGGCCCAATTCTAGCCCTCGGCTATTGATTAGCAAACTACCCCTAAATACAAGGTTAGGCGTCAGAACCCAAATCCGGAAACGAGTTCTTAGGCTTGCAAGGCTGCGCTGGTCCCGAAACCCACCTCAGGGTCTTATTTGGGGCTGGACTTCCTCGAACCACCTGGCTCTTACCTCGAGGGTGATGGTCTTCCCCGTAAGGGTTTTTACGAAAATCTGCATCTCGGCGGCGGTTCCACCTTAAAGCGATGAAAAGAAAGTGGCGTGTTAAATCGATGGCCAGGGGAGAGGGGACGAAATAACCACGAGCCGGAGACGCGCGGCTCGGAAACCACTCACCAGTGATGGCGGATCCGAAAGGAAGACCTCCGCGCGGTCCACGGTCTATCCCCCAGGCGAAGGTCCCACCCCTTAGGCGGCCACAGCAAATGCCTTGGCTGCCGGAGCAGCGGCTGCCTAACTTATTGCCAGATTAGATTATGAATATTTTTTCCTCTTTTTTCTAAATCTAGGCTTATTTCTCACTTTACCTTTCAGAATGCTTTAGAAATAACATATTTTAACAATTTCAAAATGTTTTAAAAAGACTTTTCCCATACAGCCGAAGAGGCTAACAGCGTTTTAAAAACTGGACAACTGAGATTGGTAAAAGGGAGGAAATGGAAGTGTGCTCTGGGAGTTGTAGTTTTCTAGTGCGCTCCTCTGGAGAGGACTACTTGTCCCAAAATGCAATTCTCCAACCCTAGGTTTCCCTAGTTACTGTCTCTAAGAACTGGAGTCCAGTTAGGAGAAAGGGATCCAGGTGAGGACTGCAGGCGGCGGCAGAGTAGAGGTTTCAGGCTGGGTGAAAGTTATTAGAAGAAATGGTTGAAGAGGCAGGAAAGTGGTGTGGGTCCTGAAAATGTCGTTCACCTGCTTACTGAGGCGCTGAGAGGCGGATTATCGATCAACTAGATGCCTTGTGGCCTTGGAGGGAATGGAATGCCCTTGTGGCCTCCTGCAGGAAAACTGAAAGACAAACGAAATAGTAAAAGTGGGGACTCGGCCTTAGCTTCCAATAGCCTCTGCCTGGCTCTCAGCCCCCGAGTGTGAGGAAGGTTCTGGGCCGGATATGTCACTCCTGGTAGTGTGTAACAGTTCAGTGTAAATAAACTTTGAAGAGTTTTCTAGGTTTTAAAACGGAGTCATAAGAAAAAGAAACCTGTTCAGTGGTTATTTAGTTGTAAAATTTACAAGTTTGGACAGAGAGTTTTGGAGTATGTGTTGCAATTTATGTCCTTGCCTTTTTCTTTCTTCAATCCACAGACCTCCTTTCTAATGCATCCTCTTGATGCGATCTCTTTTTATCTCCCCACCCCAAAATTCATCGTTCCTTAATTTTCTCATAAAGGAATCCAGCATCGTATCTTTCGGCTTTACCACTTTCCAGTCTTTCCCTGCTTTCTAACCCATCTTTTCAGTTGCTTTTATTATCCTCTTTCAGATACTTTACATTTAGGATACACTCCAAAGTCCTTAGTATGACATTCAGCCTCTGCCTTCCTTACAACCCGGTCGTTAAACTGATCACTCACTCACTTTACATTTTAATAACACTAGGTCGATTGTTTCCTGACTTACTGCCTCATGCTTTGGCATTGCTGAATAATCCAATCCTTCTCTCTTTCTGTAACATTTTTATGCTGTAGTTTGCCAAGTAAATCTCCACCTGTAGAACAAAATTTGAGAGTGTTGTTCGTACCCATTTTCTCCAATTTACCTCTTCTGTTGATTGCACCCAGTCCTCTCAGGCTTTTGTTCCTACCATTCTGGTAGAATTGGTCTTGTGATAGTCACTAATGTCTTCCATGTTGCTAAAATTGAAGGTCTTTTTCATCGTATTTGATATAAGCAGCATTTTACACAGCTGATCATTACTTGGGTTTTGAGACATTTCCTTCAGGGCACTGCTTTTACTTGTACCTCTCTGGAAGATATTTTTCAGTCTCTTATTGTTTCCTTTTGATCTACCAGATCTCTAACGCAGAGCACCCTGAGTCTTAGGACCTTTGCTTATTTACATTTCCTAGGTTATCTTACTCTGCCTGGTGCCATTTAAATACCATTTACATGCAGACAACTCAAACTTATCTCTCACGCAGACCACTTATACGGAACTTGTTATTCACATATCCAGCTGTCTAATCAACATCTCAGGAAATTGTTCTTCGCATCTCCATATAGAGCAAAACTAATTTTTTAACTTGCTACTGCCAGAAACTTAATGGTCACCCTTGATTGTTGTGGCATGTCCTACATCTATCTATTCTTATGCAAATCTTGGGTTTACTTTGATAATATGTACAAGAACACTTCTCACCACCACTATTGCAACCTTGTTTGAAGCCACGATCATCTTTGGTATGGATTATCACTTGCTAACCATAGTTCCGGCTTTGACCCTTGTTGCTTTTAAGGGACGACTCTTTCAAAGAGAAGTGAGCTGCCACTCTTCTGTGTGTCCAGTCTCACTTAGCACTTTGACAAGACGAGGCCACAGTCCAGCTCACTGCCCCTCTTGCCTCGTCTCCCCAAAGAAAGGAGTGCTTTTTTTGTAAACCACATGAAGGTGTCCCGTGGGCTGGTAGTGTGTCCTATTGGACGTCACAGCTGCATCTCTGACTTCTCTCCCTTTGTCTTTCTCTTCTAGAGGGCTTGCTGTGCTCTAACACTGTCCCACTTTGTGGTCTTTGGACTTGCTGTACTCTTTGCTCAACAACTTCTTCAGGAATCTCCAAGACCTTCCGTTTTCAGACTTCTGAGATCATCACCTTGCCAGTGAGGGCTTTTCTTTCTTGACTCTATCAGATTGCATCCTCCTACCTTTCTTACTCTTCCGTCCGACCTTGTCTATTTCTCTCCATGAAACTTATCCCCATCTGTCACGTTTTCCACTTCTGTTGTCTGTCTCCACTTGAGTGTGGCCACTACCAGGTCTCATTTAGTATTGTTTCTCTGTTGTCTGGAATAGTGGCAATCACAATAGGTGCCCTTAAAATATTTATTGAATAAGTAAATGCAGCATAACTTAGCATTATCCTAAATATTATTCTAGCAGGTCAGAGATGGTAAACTTTTTAGAGCGTTCAGTGCTACACACAGCCGGCTGCAGCCCAGGTCCTTAGGTTGGCCGTTGCTGTGCGAGGTGTTTCCCCTAACATTCCCATGTCCTCTCCTAGGTTAGTAGATGCCCCTCCAGGCTTTATGGCACTGCTGTCACTGTCTTTTGTGCAGTGAGAAATGGCTCATTTACTTGATCCAGTAGGTTTGATGGGATCCCCAAGTGATTTGTTTTCAGAGTATCCATAAGTGTCTAATAGGAATGAACAAGGAAATGTGAATGTTAGTTGGTATAAGATGCTGAGGCACAGTTGCTCTAATTATGTTCTGGCTTGAGGGCACCTTAAGTCCCATGTCTTCTGAGCAGACAAGATTGTTTAGTGATATGGCAAATATTTGAGACCTAATGCTAGAAACTGTTGTGCACTGGAATGCATACGGGTCGGGGAGGGATGCTGATCTTGTCAAACTTAGAGTCTCTAGTAGAGGAGATGGGAAAACATAAATGGGAAGTCTGTAACACAGTGTGATTGCATGTTAATACCATGATAGGGGCAGTGCATGACACTGGGAGAGGGAACAATGACATTTAACCAAGTTTAAGGGAATCCAGGGCACCTCTCCTGAAACTGTCTAAGAAGAGCTTGAAGAATGAGTAAAAGCCAAGTGAAGGGCAGTGGTAATATGTATTTGGAGGAAGGAAGGGGAAATGGTTGTAGAGGCAAGTGTAGAGGTAAGATAACCCTAAGGTAGAAGACCAAGTTCAGGGGGCTGTGGAGCTGGAGGGATTCGGGGTGGCGGACAAGGGTATGGGAAGGAATAGATTCTGTCAGAAAGAGTAGTTGGTTCCTCAAGAGAACATTAATAGAGGCATTAGGAGCCTTGGTGTTATGATGAGGGTTAGAGAGGGCCACTGGTATTCAGCTGTGACCTCTTTTTCTCCAGGGATTACGCCCCTTCCTTCCTCCTTTGAATTTTATCTTTTACTATTTGAAATTGTATTATTAGTAGTCTGTTTTTCCTGCTGTGTTGTGAGCTTCAAGTAACCAGGGTTTTACCTTACTTATTATTTAATCCCTACCTGTGAAATTCTGCCTGGTGTTTAATAGACACTCAATAAATCCTGGCTGAAGAACTAAGACATTGATTTTCCATGAAAGAACACTTAGTACTCACTTGTAGGTATATTTACCTTATGTGATAACTTTATGTTCATGCTAAATGTCCTATTTCTTATGCAATATATCAGCATAAAGATACATTTAGCAAAGCCAGGGCTGGTGGCACACACCTGTGATCCCTGTCTTTGTGGGTTTAAGGCAGCGAGTTTGAAGCCAGTCTGGGCCTCAAACTATATAGTGATGCTCTGTCTCAAAAAAAAAAATTGCATTTAACCTCTTTATAACAAGTTTTTATTTTCATTGGTACATGTGCAGTACACAGTGTGCAGTACACAGTGAATACATTCCTTGTGCAGAGTTGCTACCTGTGCATAACTTGTCTTCTTTTTTATCCTCCTCTTCTCTTTCCCTCCTCCATCTCTTAGTGCCCTTCAGTTTTAAAAAGATCTATCTCCCTATTTCAATTATCTGTTTCTTACTTTGCTCTTTACTTATATTTTGGATATCTCATATAAGAGCAAATATGTGATATTAAACTTTTGTGTCTAATTTATTTCATCATGGTCTCAGGTGTATGTATTTTCCTACAAAAGACTCAAGTCTTCTTCATGGAAGCGAACACTCTTGTGTATTGTGTATAAATACTGCATTTCCTTTATCCATGTACCTTTTCATGTTGGTCATGCTGCTATAAACATGCATGTATGTGTATCATTATAATACAATGTCTTTAACTTTTGAGGGAAGATATCTAGAAGGAGAAGAATTGGGTCAAATGGAATTTCTGTAGGTTTTTGAGGAAACTCCGTAGTGATTTCTATAGTGGTTGTATTAGTTTATGTTCTTACCAAAAATGTAGAATGGTTTCTATTTCCCCAAACCGTCGCTAGCATATGTTATTAATTTCATTTCTTGATGGTAGTCCTTCTTTTTGGACTAAGATAAAACCTTAGGTTGTTTTGATTAGCATTTCTTTAATGGCTAGAGGTGCCGAACATTTTAATATGTAATTATTGGCTATTTATAATTCTGACAAGTGTCTATTCTTTTCATTTATCTGCTTTTTGCTTGAGCCTTTTAATTGAGGGGTTCATTTTTTTTAGTCCTTTATATATGTTGGATATTAGTATTCTCTAAGGAATACCAGGCAAGCAGAATTTTTTCCCATTCTGCAGGTTGTCTCTTCACATTTTTGGTTGTTTCCCTTGCTGGACAGAAGCTTTTTAATTTGAGGTAATACCATTTTTGACCCTTGATGTTATTTCTTGTTCAGTTAGGATTCTGTTCAGAAAAATCTGTCCCTACACCTGTATCTTCAAGAGTTTTACCTATTTTATCTTCCAGCATATTGTTTAATATTTAGATCTTTGATCCGTTTTGACGTTAGTTTATTGCATGGTGAAATATACAGGTCTAGATTCAATCTTCTGCATGTGGATAAAATCAGTCTCCCCAACATCATTTATTAAAGAGGCTGTCTTTTTTCCAACTTATGTTTTTGGGCCTTTTGTCAAAGATCAGATAGACAAACGTGCCTTGGGTTGGTTCTGTATCCTATATTCTATTTCACTGATCTATATGTCTGTCATGAGCTACTGTCATGTTGTTTTTATCACTGCAGCTTTGTAATATAACTCACAATCTGAGATTGTAATTCTTCCTGCTCCTGAAGTTGTTTTCTTTTAGAACTTAAAACACTTCACTCCAAAGCTCTTCTAGCCTTTAAGTTTGTGTTTGTAAGTCTGCTGTAATTCTAATAGCTATATCTTCATAAGCAATTTATTTCTTATCTTTGATAGATTTTAAGACTCTATCTTGTTTTGGACTTCTGGAATTTTGATTGTGATATGTTATAAAGAAGTTTTTTTATCATGGCTATTTGTAGTGGTATTGCCTCACTTATCTATATGTTAAATTCTTTCCCCATACTGAAAAGTGTCCTGCTATGGTTTTAGTAATTAATTGATTAAGTTTAGTAGTTAATTAATTGTGTAGTAATTGATTAAGTAATTAATTTCAGTTAATCTTACATTAAATCCTTTCATATCATCCAGTAGCTGTTGGATTGTCATATTGTCTCTCTCTTTTGTTTTGCTGTTTGTTCTTTTTGTTTTTTTGGTACCATGAATCAAACTCAGGACCTTTTGCTTGCCAGGGAGGTGCTCCACAACTGAGCTAAACCCCTAGCCCAAAGACTGTCCTCTTTTTTTTTTTGGTACCAGGGATTGAATTTACTACTTGTGCTGTTGGGCTAAACCCCCAGCTTTTTTATTTTTTTATTTTTTTATTTTTTATCGGTACCGGGGATCGAACTCATGACCGCCTGCTTGCAAGGCAGATGCTTATGCTGCTGAGCTAAATCCCCAGCCCCAAACCCCAGCTTTAAAAAAATTTTTTTATTTAAAGAGAAAACAAAACAGAAAAAAGGGTAGTAATAATACAGAATTAAAAAAAATAAACACTAAGAAATCACTAGTTGATAAATTACATACTGTCATCCTAGAAATAGTTGTTCAAGTTACAAAATTAACGCATACAAAGTAGATATTCAAACAGTGAGAATGCAAACAGTTCTACTCAACAGTCCAACAAAAACTTAGTAATATGGTCATCTAGCTTATACACTTAAACATACATGCAATTATATCCTTTACAGCACTTTCTTTTCCTCTTTTTTACAATAGCAATTACACATTTTGGGTTTTAATACTCCTTCAGTTCTTATTACTTTTTACACTAGAGACACAATGTGATATTTATAAATATGATTCCTATTTATTTTACTAATGGGGATAGTCTCAAATTGCCTCCATTTACCGATGAAGGCCTCAAGATCATCCTTTTTTATACCTGAGTAATAGTCCATTGCCTAAAAATACCACATCTTTTTCATCCACTCTGCAATTGGTGGGCATTTTGGTTGTTTCCAAGATTTAGCTATTACAAATTGTGATGCTATGAACATGGTACACATATGTCACTGTGACATGACCTTTTCAGGTTTTTTGGGAAAATACCCGAAGGGGAAGAACTGGATTGCATAGAACTTCAAATCATAGACTTCTGAGAAATCTCCATAGTGATTTCCTATAGTGGCTGCACCAGTCTACACTCCCACCAACAGCAGAGCAGTGTCCCTTTTTCCCCACAGCCTCACCAACATTTGTTATCAGTTGATTTCTTGGTGGCAGCTATTCTTATCAGAGTGAGATGAAATCTCAATACTGTCTTAATTTGCATTTCTCAAATGGCCAGTCAAATGGTGAACATTTCTTCATGTATTTATTTGCCATTTGTATATCTTCATCTGAAAAATGCGTGTTCACCTCAGATTACCATTTTTGCAGAGGGTCTCTAAATTTGGAAGGCTTGATATTTTTCAATTCTTTATATGTTCTGATTACAAGTCCTTTGAAGGGTTGCTGCCTAAAATTCTTTCCCATTCTGTGGGTTTTCTTTTCACTTTTTTGGTGATTTCTTTTGAAGTGCAAACACCTTTCAATAATATGAGATCCCAGTTGTTCATTCTTTGAAGTGTTTCCAATGCAGTTTGCATTTTATTCATGAAATCTCTGCCTACTCATATGTCTCCAAGAG